TTAATAATCTATAATAACCAATTCTCTCAAGAGTCCTACATAATTATTTTAATAATCCAACAAAACATTCATAGATTTGTATCTATGTAGCTAAATTTTGAGGTACTTTGGCAAAATAGGTTTTTTCATGTAAATATACAGGATGATATTTCCTGTGAATATACAGGAAGAATCGCTGACATTCTTTTTATTATTAAATTATATATACTAAAATAAAACGGATATTTTTGCAAAGTAGTGTTTCATTTTATTTTGTCGACTCATTACAAAGTAATAATTATTTAGTTCCAGTGATTTTTCGATTATAGTCTCGCGGTCGTCACAGTTAATTGAAGCGACAGTATTCGTCATAAAGAATGCTTTCTCTTTTTTTTTTATAAAATTACAATTCGTGTTTGCCAGAATGCTGAGAAATCCGTCGCCGGTGTCGCCGACGAGCCGAGAGGTGAGAATCAAGCTAACATCGTTGAGACGGCAGATCTGGACTGGCGTGTCGACCAGCACCGCCGCCGATGAGAACAACGATGCGGAACGTCTCGCCGACGCATTTGTTAAGACGCCGTTGAGTTGGGGTGTCTCTAGACACGCTCTGATGCACTATCCCACGGATGGCGAGGTCACGTTAAAGTGAGTCGACAAAGTACTCGACTTATCGCGTACACTGCAGCGTCTATAGAATATATGCGCGTTACATGCTTCGTTGCAATTAGATATATTTTTTTGTTTATTGCATCGCGTGCGTCGACTTTGCAATTCGATGTGCTTCGGAATTCTCCATGAAGAAGCACTGAGAACTGTTCTGGCTAAACCAACGAAAGAGACCCAACCAAAATGGCATTTTAGGAGACCAAACAGAATTATCGTAACTAGAAAGTTTAGCTTCATCAAAATGCTATTCTGGTTCATGATTGGACCTTTGTTGGTTTAACTAGAACATTTTTCTATGAGTACACATACTAAATTAATGCATAATAAATGCAAATAAACCCATCGCCTTTTTAGGCCGCAGTCTAAGAAAGCGCAGTCGCTCGTCTACGACGCGGACAAAGACGACGCGAGGAAGACACGAAAGAAGCTGCGGCGGAATGCGTCTCAATTGAAGACATCCGCGCGAACAGACGGGCAGAAATCGTCCAACAGGAAGAATGCGAAGCTTGACTGGCAACGAGCGGTGAACCTAAACTCCCGGGGCAAGGATGCGAGAATCATGAGAACCTCCTCCCTCGTGACAATTGAGGCGGATTCGTTGAAGCTGCTGGCCACAGCAACAACGTCCAAGCAGCCACAGCGACCGCAGCGGAAACTCGAGTCGCGCCGGAAGTTCCGCGGTGTTGGTACGGTGGCGTCTACCTGTGTTGGCGTCGCGGCGAAGACGAACGTCGCGAAACCAACGAGGACGCGAGCGTGTCGTCGCGACGCCTTCTGCGAGAGCACAACGTCAGACGATGCCTCGTCGGATTCAGGCAAGCCGAAAGTTGTAAAGAAAAAGCAGAAAAAGAAAAAGCAGCAACAACTACCGTCGAGGAAAACAAACAGAGGAATGGAGCAAAGCAAGCGAGTCTGCAGCGCGAAAACATCGCGCGACAACGTTTAAGAATGATTTTTTCGAGCAAACTGCGAGATGTATTGTTTATTCTCTTTATTATTTGAGATTTTGGACAATTCGAAGAAAACGGAAATATTGTTTAAATTAGAGACTGAAAATTAAGGGTTTTTTGCAACTAAAGTCTCAAAGATGGATAGTAAAAGCTTAAAGGTAATCTACAATGTATTCTTTGCTTCCTGTTTCTTGCTTTTTATTATATTATTTTTAAGTCTTATCTTATTTTCTGTCACCTGAGATAAAAATTGACGAATTTTAGAAGGGATATAACATAATTACTGATAAAAAGAGTCAAGAAAAGGAAAAAGGCAAAGGATAAAAAATAAAAAACGGAAATAGATTTATAGTATATTGATTAGCCTTCAAAGGTCTTTATTGACAAAGAAGTTTAAGCTGTAAAATTTTAATTGAAAAATTTGTAATTTGAAGATTGTAAAGCTTAGCCCAATTTACAGAATCAATGATCGTAATATTATTGATGACACGAAGTTTTATTTACCTACTTTCTAAGAAAACCTTAAAAGTCGCCAATATATTATATATATATATATATATATATATATAAGAATATATATAGATAAGGATGTTCCGTAAAGACCGAAACATCGCTTAAGAGGAAATTTCTAAAATTATTTTGAAATGAGAATTCTAATCTCAAAATATCGAGGCTATAATAATTTTTGAATTATAATAACTTAAAGTTAGCAAATTATACCGCTGAAAATTTGTATGTTCGATATTTGTTTAAATTGATATTTATGTTAAAAAATTATTTTCCCTCGACATTTTAGTATTAGAATTTTCATCTCAAAATGATCGCAAGAATCTTTCCTTAAGTGTTGTTCTGATCTTTATATGACACTCTGTACATAGATAAGGAAAATAAAAGCTTATTATAAAAATGATAAGAATGCAGCAACAAGATAAAGGACTTATCGTCCCATGCAAGAAAGCGAAGAATAAATTACTCATATAATCTCATTCAGAAACATCACTCTGTAATTGAAAGGTTCTAATGAAAATCTATGAAAACTAAAATAATTGCTTCGAATCACTATGAAAAATCAATTTAAAAAGTTGCTCAATGAAATCGTAGATAATTATCTGCTAAATTTATTAATCCCTAATCCCTAACACGTGGCAAAATATATAAATTTCTAAAACAGACATTATAAAAGAAACTGCTATCTTTGTAAGAGAAATGGAGGAAAGTTAATAATTAATTTATTCTCGAGAATCACATGTGAACAATTATTATTACCATTTAATATTATTAAACCTAATCCATATTCACTCTAAATTCCTTAATTGATATTCGTAGATACACTGTTATAAATTAATATGTTTGCTTAAAATTGAGCTTAAAATAATTACATAATTTTTATCACTGTTTTAACACAATTACATAAATAATTTTTTTCATAACTAATACGAATACGAAGCCTATAACAGTCTAGCTTGGATCTTAGTTGCTTATATATAATTTCGCGTGAATTTAAACTGCGCGTCGAATAATTATCGGTCTTGAAATGCAACTCTAATAAACTACCGCAGTACTGTCACGAATTGAATTGACTAACAATTTAATAATTAATTCATGCTCTTTTAGCATCTTATATCGTTTATTTACGTGCCTGAAAGAAAAACGTTTATCATTTGACCAGTTATTGCGAGGAATATTACTAAGGCCTCGGTAATCTAATTGATAGGACACTTGCGCGTAAAGTAAGCGATTCGGGTTCGATTTCCGGTCGGGGTAATATTTTTCGCAATAAGAATTATTATTTTCAGATTTTAATATAATTTAACATCGATATAAGATGCTAAAAGAGCATCAATTAATTATTAAATTGTTAATCAATTTAATTCGTGATAGTACTGCGGGAGTTTATTAGAGTTGCGTTTCAAGACGGACAATTGTTTGGCGCAGTTTAGTAAGACTACATATATCAGTATATAAATTCACGCGAAATTATATACAAAGCAACTAAGATCCAAGCTAGACTGTTATAGACTTCGTATTCGTATTAGTTATGTTGTTACATTAACGATCTTTAGAATTGAATATCGTTTAATTTTTTTCATTTAAAAAATTAGAATTCGAAGGATAAGACTATACTATAATATATAATAACGAAATTATTTATAGTTATAAAAACATTTGTTATAAACAATTCTTCATAACGTAGTTAAAAAAAATATTTCAGAATTCGCGAATACTAACAATTAGGGTTAGAATATTTATAACATAATATAATAATTACTGTATTAATATAAAAATATTAGTATCTGATACTTATATAAGAATATTAAACATGGACTTGTGAATAACTGTAAATATATTGTATAATAATTATAATCTCACAACTCACTTCTGTCAATATGAATTAATTGAATTAATATCTATTTCTTCCAATGCAGATTAACTTTAATCTTGGTTTATAGTACTCTTTTTATCTTCTCCTACTTCTTATGAAATGAGAAAAAAAATGAAAAGTAAATTAAAGTTAATTTATTATACATTGATAGAAATGGACACAACGGCAATTTCAACCAACTCTGATTAACTCAATTAATCAGAGTTAAAATCGGTAAAATTACCGGTCGAAAAATTTTTTGTATAATTCTCCACCCTTGATCTTATTTTTTTTCCATATGTCGAAAAACAAAAAATTAATAAAACTTTTAAAAAAATTGTGTATTATCTTATAGTCTCAATTAATATTATATATAAAATTATATTTTAAAATTAAGTCAATCGTAGCACAAGACCACTTTAATTAAAATAATTAATTACATCAAATACAATAACGTTATATATCGTCATTTTGATGTTAAAATAATATCAAAATAACATCAAGACATCAACAAATAAAGTCTACTTATTTGTTGATATCTTGATAAGGAATAATTATTTAATTAATTAATTAATTCAATTTGCGGTTGTTTTAACTTGTCATCATTGCCCGTAGCTCAAAAAGAATACTATGCGATCAATCTCAGCGGAGTTGATCTTCGAACTGTATTTCGGTAGTTTCACACCCGCGAAATCAACTGACATGCGCCAGCTGAAGTGTTGCATCACGTGCTTGCGAATTGACAACGCGACGTCACCATGACGACATGCGAAGTGCGAACGCGCGGTAAACAATTCACGATTACCGCGCGACGCGGATCAAAGCGATCACGTGGCCCACCGCCACATGACGAACTGTCGCAAAATCATAAGATAGGTTGATCGATCGTCACGCACAATCGGTATCGCGTCATCCCTTTTCATCCAAAACGTCGATCTCTTCGCCGAGAGCGATGAAAGTCGCTTCAGGCGATCGGTTGCAAAATCGAGGTTATTGAGGATGGAAATATAGAAATGAGAACGGAAATTGGCAATTATTACCTGTGATCCAAATATTCCGTTATAGGACTAACACGACATGACGCATGCTCCTCTTCTTCTTTCTGCTTCGTGATTTAAACAGGAACGTCACGAACACGTGCGAAAAGTCGACTGGAAAAATCACAACACTAGTTCAATCTTCACCGTCTTCATGAGTTCGCAATGCTTGTCGCTTTGCGTGACTGTAGAGTCAATACGTAGTTCAGAGCTCGATGAAGAGCTCTCGTGCTGCCATCTTGCAGCGACAAATTGCGTTCACGCTACTGGCGGGAGAAATGATTTTTTTACCGTAACTGTAATATCAAGAGATCGAGTGTGTATCTTGAAATAAGATGAAAAGTAATCAATAATAATAAAAAAGGGCAAAATAAGAGTCAAATTATAAATAAATAAATATACTGTCAACTTACTTAAACTTAAGCATATAAGTAGATAATTTGTACATCAAACTACTCATACTTAAAAGCTACTTAAACATTAATGCTTAAAAATTAATAATTTCCAATAATCTTTAGTTAATATTAACAATAAACAAAGTTAATAACTTCTTATATTCTAAAAATCACATTATCCTTGAATCAATAGGAGTCCACCGCTGGATGTAAGGTTGCGAATATTTCGATTGGGATAATTGTGAAATTTTGGATGTTGAGAGATTTTATAATAAGAGATTGACTGCAGAAATGATTTATATAAATAGACAGGAAAAAGGACTAAATTTACAAACAGACACAGATACATTAAGTAGGACATATACGGATATTCTTAAAAAGATTTAGCTATTTACATATTTTAACCTGTATTGACTTATGTTTATGTTTGATATGTTTGAATGTTTGACATACTGACAAATCAGTTGAGACATGAATTTGTAACAAGCAACATTGAAAATGTATAATAATTATGAAATTGTTTTATTATATGTAATAGAGTGGTATTATGAATATTAGATTGGATTACAATGTAGTGTTCGTAATTATATTTTAAAATTAAGTCAATCGTAGTACAAGACCACTTTAATTAAAATAATTAATTACATCAAATACAATAACGTTATACATGTATATCGTCATTTTGATGTTAAAATAATATCATCAAGATATCAACAAATAAAGTCTACTTATTTGTTGATATCTTGATAAGGAATAATTATTTAATTAATTAATTAATTCAATTTGCGGTTGTTTTAACTTGTCATCATTGCCCGTAGCTCAAAAAGAATACTATGCGATCAATCTCAGCGGAGTTGATCTTCGAACTGTATTTCGGTAGTTTCACACCCGCGAAATCAACTGACATGCGCCAGCTGAAGTGTTGCATCACGTGCTTGCGAATTGACAACGCGACGTCACCATGACGACATGCGAAGTGCGAACGCGCGGTAAACAATTCACGATTACCGCGCGACGCGGATCAAAGCGATCACGTGGCCCACCGCCACATGACGAACTGTCGCAAAATCATAAGATAGGTTGATCGATCATCACGCACAATCGGTATCGCGTCATCCCTTTTCATCCAAAACGTCGATCTCTTCGCCGAGAGCGATGAAAGTCGCTTCAGGCGATCGGTTGCAAAATCGAGGTTATTGAGGATGGAAATATAGAAATGAGAACGGAAATTGGCAATTATTACCTGTGATCCAAATATTCCGTTATAGGACTAACACGACATGACGCATGCTCCTCTTCTTCTTTCTGCTTCGTGATTTAAACAGGAACGTCACGAACACGTGCGAAAAGTCGACAGGAAAAATCACAACACTAGTTCAATCTTCACCGTCTTCATGAGTTCGCAATGCTTGTCGCTTTGCGTGACTGTAGAGTCAATACGTAGTTCAGAGCTCGATGAAGAGCTCTCGTGCTGCCATCTTGCAGCGACAAATTGCGTTCACGCTACTGGCGGGAGAAATGATTTTTTTACCGTAACTGTAATATCAAGAGATCGAGTGTGTATCTTGAAATAAGATGAAAAGTAATCAATAATAATAAAAAAGGGCAAAATAAGAGTCAAATTATAAATAAATAAATATACTGTCAACTTACTTAAACTTAAGCATATAAGTAGATAATTTGTACATCAAACTACTCATACTTAAGAGCTACTTAAACATTAATGCTTAAAAATTAATACTTTTACAAATTAAAAAATTAACAATATGTAACCAGTTTTGACTCCTAGATTGAGTCCTCTTCAGACTTTGAATTGCCTTATTCGTGAATAAAATTATTGTAGTAAAACATAACATTGTTAGTGAGAAATTTTTCATATATTATTTCTGTAAAGTTAATGTAAAAAGATATAAAATATAATATGTGAAAGTTATATATCACAAATCTAAGATATGAAATCTTTGCGATACAATGTAACACAATTATAGTACAACTCAGTACAATGTTTATTTTTCCGATTAAACAAAATGGCGGTGCTGGCGAAAAAATTGTTTTTTCAATTAAAGCTTTGTTTTTGGAGTTATGTTTTATATTAATTGTTGCGGCATGATGTAACACAAATCTAGCACAATTCAGCACAAATTTTATTTTTATATTTTTTACAAAATGGCGGTGCTAACTTCACGCACATATGAGACACGCAGGGTACCATTATTACATCCCTGTTGTTCGTCAATGGTCGCATTCAACAGACTCAACAGATTTACAACTGTTTTATGATTCTTCGCTGAAATAG